AGTCTTGACACAGCCTCTGCCACCACATCAGATCAATTGCTCTGGGCCCCTTTTATCAGCTCCATCACCTAGTGGGGGTGGGGGGTCATAGTTTGGTCCCGCCTTCACTGTTGTGATTGGTGAGGGGGTAGGGACAGGCTTAGGGCGTCGGGGGGTTCCCCGGAGGCATCTTCCTTGGGGGGCTCAACCCGGGGTAGCGGTCACGTCCGGTTGAGGGCTCTGTTGGCTCTCAGGTGACTGTTTCCTCGCGGCTGCGTGCAGCGGGGCTAGGGGAGGGTCTGTGCTGACGGACGTGGGTTACTGACCTGGCAACCTGGCTGCCCCTGGGTGGGTCCGGGATGGGCGTGAGGTTCTGGGGGTGCTCCGTCTCTGGGCGGGGGCCCGGGCCGGGCCTCGGGGGCTCGGGTCCTGGTTGGTGTGTTGCCGGGGTTGTGGGCGGGTGGGTGCATGGGGGCCCGGCCCTGGAGCAGGGTGCCGCCGGTGCATCGAGCCGCCTGGGGGGCTCTTCAACTGGTGGGGGGATGGTCACATCTGGCAGGAGCTTTCTTCTCTCAGGAACTCTCTGCAGGAGGGGAGATACAGGAGAGGTGGAGGAAGATCTCAGCCTGGGCGTTTATCGTCTTATGTAGTCTGGAAGATGTGTGGTTGGTGGGGTGGGTGCAGTTTTCTCTGTGGTGGGGTTGGGTGGACTGTCCAGGGCTCTGTGGAGCCGGGGGGCGCTACTGCACTGGGCCCCGGTCTGATGGGCCTGGGCCCCCTTCCCTGGCGGGTCGCGGAGGGTGGGAGTGCCTACTGGGGTCAGCGGGGGAGCTGGCCCCAGGGAGGGGTTACCTGCCCCTCCCTTCCTTCCCTCCCCATCTCCAGCTGCCTCCCTCTTCCCGCTCCTCCACAACCACCCACACATGCAGGGCCTTGGAGTGGGGGTATGTCACCAGGGTGCAGAGGAGGCTACCCCCCCCCCCTGTCCCCTTCTGGCTGCCTCTGCCTCAATTTTATCCCACAACTTAGACATTCACATTATTCACACTCTCATTACACATACATATAGGATCTTGGGGGTGGGCACAATCACGGAGTCCAAATCACCATCAGGGTGTATACCTCACCCCTGACGTCGTTGCCCACCTCTCAATTTTAAATACACTTAGTCATTGAGGGCTAGCAGGAGGGACCATGCGCTTACCTGCTGCTCCTTGGCAGGTAGCTCCATGCCCTCCTGGGTTTTAATTGCACCTTAGAACACATATGCATCAACACTACAATGAGCGGGTGGAGGGAGGTTTGGAGTCTTCTCCCACCCCCATTCTCTGCGGCCTGCTGGAGCGGGGGGCTAGTAGGAGGAGTTGGCCGTCCGACTGCGGTCTGGGGTGTGGGGCCTCCCTGCTGCTGCGGAGTCGGGGTGGTCTGCCTCTCCCCACCGCAGGGAAAAGGGTAACACCACCTGGGTCTGGGTGCAATTCCCCCCTCCAGGGGCAAGGGTACCTAGACCCGGTTTGTAGAGTACGCTTGGGGAGTGTGATTGTGTGTACAGCGTCTCTTTATGTCTGTCTCCACGTTGGTTGAGTGTGGAGTGAGTGCATATGAGAGCATGAGGGTGGGAATGGATGTTTGTGTCTGTGTGTGCCTGTATGTCTGTGTCTATATGTCAGGTTGGGTATCAGACGCCACCTCTCTGGGACACCTCAGGCCCTCCAAGGTTTGGAGGCCTATCTCCACCCACCACCACTTCCCCTGCCGGTGGCGGACTCCCTCAGGTGTCGGTGTGTTGGTGGTTCTTTGTGTCTGGGGTGGGCGTCCGGGTACACACCGGCTCACTCCTTGGCGGCCGCTTGTCGGGGCCTGGGGCCTGGGGCTCGCTCGGGCCCCTTTGGAGGTGGGGTGCCCCCGGCCTCTCGGCCTAGGGCTCGGTCACTCAGGCGCAGCTGGGGGCCGGCGGAGCTCACGGGCGCGTCACTGCAACCCCCCTGGCTTCTGCTCCGCGGCTGCTGAGTGAGCCCTCATCTGGGACTCTCCTCAGCTCTTACTGGGACAGTGGCGCGGCTGCCCCTCTGTTGGTCTTCCTTGGTCTCTTGTGTTCTGGGGTCCTCTGGATGTCTGGAGTTTTGATCTCCTCCATACCCGCTTCACACCCTGGAGGACGGGGCTGTGGCCCCCCCACACTCCCTAGCAGATCATTACATGGAGAAACCTTTGGAATGCAAGCATGCTGATCCACACAGGTATGCACACATGGGTATTCACAGACGCGGACTAAAGCTTTCTTGGCTGCTGCCTCAAAGCACACTGTGCGCTGTCTATCTTGCGTGCTGCACAATATCGTTTATTACTTAGTAAATACTGATATCTATGACTAGCTAGTTTATTGTGATGGTGCTTTGTTTTCTCTATTATTATGTTGCTCTTTGTTGTTTGCTGTCTCCTCTGTTTGTTTGTTTGTTTGTTTTTTCTCCATACAGGTGACCCAGGAGTTTTTTTTTTTTTTTTTTGTCTCTCTTCCCCCCCTTCTCACCGTCTCTTCTCCCCTTGGGTTTTCTTTCTTTCTCTCCCCTCTCTCTCTCATTCATTCCCCCTGTCCTATTTATTAAAAAAAAAAAAAAAAAAAAAAAAAAAAAGTACCGATTTGGCACCGGTATCGGATAAAACCTAAACGATACCCATCCCTAATAATGAGTGTGTGGCGGATTCCCCTCTAATTGCCATCTTTGTTGTAGTGTACACAGCTCTTGCGTCACGCCACACTGAGGGAACTCTTGTCAACACCGGGTGACCCACAGGGAGGAAGTGATGTGTGAAGTAATGCAAAACACGAGTTTAAGGAAAATAATGAAAAACAAGCAGCAGCTCCCCCAGCTGGATGTGCTGCTTAAAGAAAGACAAGCAGAGAATAAAACATAACCTACAGAAGATTTTTGTATCCATAAGTTATAAAGACCTAAAAAAAAAGTTGTATTCTTGAATAAATTACTCAACAAAAAAGCTCAGAATAACATTAAACTATTTGCTGACAATTAAATGTTTATATGGAAGTTTTTTTATGCAAAGATGATGAAAAAACATAATGTCCTAGCTCCCCAGTGTGCTGGATTTAGTGTAAATGATGTCATTTTTTTATGGAAACATGCATCATATACCTGCGAGCACATGATACACAGATTTTTACCAATTATATATTTATTTTCTTTAAGAAACATTTCAACAAAAATCTTTCTAACTGTATTTTTAACTCATTTTTTCCATTGTGTGTTTCTCTTTCCTGCTTCATGATATGTGTGCACATTTGACCTTTTCTGTGTGTATTGTTCAAGATTGAATAGAATATTTGCCAGTGAGAGGCTTCCACTTGTAACAGAGAATTTTAAAAGTTCAGTACGTTTGCTGATGCTGATAAGCAGGTCTCTGCTTCCACCTGCTGGCTAAAAGACACACACACACACACACACACACACACACACACACACACACACACACACACACACACACACACACACACAGTGGTTTTAGAATAACTGCATATGTTTGTTAAAATACAGTCCTTATGTAGGATAACAACTTACTATGCAAAGTATGTTTAACATAAAAAAAGATTCAACTTTGTTTTTTAAGTGCTACAAAGTTGTGAGGCACAGGTGGGTCACAGAGTCCACTCAGATATAAAATGCTTCTGTGAACAGAGATGGGGGGCAAGAACGGTCAAGATTCTCACAGCTTCACAGCTTGAGGTATGAACCTGTTGAGGAACTGCAAGGTTTTTGGTTTTGGTTCGTCTTCTATATCTTATCCCTGATGGTAGGAAGGAAAACAGGCTTTAATAAGGGTGCGAGGGTGTCCTGGATGATGATGGAAGCCCTGCAGATGTAGTGGTGGTTAAAGATCTCCAGCATGGGAGAGAGGGTGGCAACAATGATCTTTGCTGTTCTCACGAGACTGTCTAGATATTTCTTTTCAGACATTTTAATGCTTTCAAACCACACAGCATTTGAGTTGAGAGTAACAACCTTTCTCATTAAACTGGGAACAGGATCCATGATGATCAAAGTTGATGGTCTTCTGGGCTATGTCATCATCAGCACAGCACAGAAGGTCCTCGGCTGTGCACTCCTGTCCTTACAGGAGCTCTGTAACAGCAAAGCCCACAGTATCCTGAAGGGAACATCCCACGCAGCACATCCCCTGTTTCAGCTCATGAAGGCAGTACAAGACCATAAAAGCCAAAACAGTCAGACTGAAAAAAAGCACACATTCCACGGTTGGTGCAACTATAAATAAAATTATAAAACAACTGAATACAATAAGTAAACAATGGTATGTCCCCTTTCACTAAACCGTTCAATATCGGGCTAATAGCTTATATTAACTTCAAAAATCCAGGTGCATTAGTAAAATGCTCCTGATTAAGAACGACTTCCAAGAATATTAGAGCATATTTGAGACTTTTGAAAGTTTAAAATTGGGGCGTTTATCAGCAAAAGTCTTGCAACTACCAGTCTGAATATTAAATCCAAATGAACAGAAAAGTAAACGTTTTTAAGGTAAAAATTGTTAAATTATTAATTATCCTTTATTTAGTGTAAACTAAAATGTTTTCTTCAAACAGTAAGTCCAGCAATGTTCAAGTAAATGTAACTAGGGGAGAAAACCATGAAGTACTTATAATCTAATGCATGTCATGTGGTAATTTAAGGCAGTTTTTTAACTGGTTGCTGAACTTCATTTGTTTTCAAGCGTTTAAAAATCAATAAATCGAATGAATGGATCTGTAAGGTTTTTAATGTGCGATTGAACAGTGAACTAAGCGTAATTCGGATATTTAGCGACATTTAGTAGCCATTGTGCCGCTAAATATGGCGCTATTCAACAGCAACTAGCTGAAAGTGCAGCTCCGTGTAAGTACTATGATAATAACACGTTGCACTTTACATCACGTTGATGTAAAAGCCCTATCTTCCCTCCGTAGTCCCTTTCATAGGGCTCTTGTGCGCATGTCCTCCAGGCTCAGATGTCAGACACTCAGGGGGCTCATTGCCTTCCTCCTCCTCCTCCTCCTCCGCCTCTTCGGAAACGGGATGTGATGTAAATACACAGAAACTTTTTTTTCTGTCCCTCTCTCCTTGGTGTATGTCTTCTTCTTTCAACAAACTGCTGCGTTAAAAGTAGAATAAGAGCAAAAGAAGTAAAGTAAAAAGTCGCGTAAGTGAAGCATCCGGGAGGTAGTTTTGTCCACCATGATCCTGTGAGCTCCTACGTCTGTCTCCGACAACAAACTCAAGAGAAGCCGGACTGCACTCTGAGAAAAACGAATCGAAGCGGAGAGAGGCTCGCTGCTGGTGTGGACCCGGAGGGAAACTGCGGACAGGTAAAACAGCTGACACTTTCTGTGGGTTTGAAAGGACTGAGAGCGGAGGATCCACGCTGCGGGAAAACTCGTGATGATGAAAGTGCATGATGGTAACAGGGCAGAAATCAGATTCTTTATATTGAGGCCTAGATGAGATGGGACATCATATCTCTTCTTTGTTGTATTGAGAAAGATGCAGGAAAAATAATCAAGACATGATGCAACCAGCTGCAAATAGATATTTACTAATTGACCTACTAATCCTACCGTCCGAACAACAGACATGTCAGAAAACAAAGGTGTGATTAGGTTTACAGAGAGGAGGAGTTTGAAAATTCTGGGAATACTGTAGAAAAATGTGCAGGAAATAAAATAGTCAGTGAATTACTATTAATCTTTTAGGACAAAGGCAAAACTAAACTGTTTAACGTAAAACTTGAAGATGAAAAGTATGATATTGAAAAAGCCCACAAGGTTAGATGTTCAGTTGGTCATGATGTGTTTCAAGTTTCAAGGTATAGAAATGTTTTTTTTCCCTAAAAGAGAAGGTGATAGAAGTATAGTTCTGTCCTGTTTCACAATCATCCCTCTTCCAGATTATGTTTAACACCATGCGCTGTAGGGGTGCTCGATTGTTGTCTTCTGATGTGGTTAGATTCATTACATCTTTTTGTGTTGTTGCGATTTCAAATATTCACAATGATTTGACAATAGGTTGCTTCACACAGACTGAAGGAGTTTTAACCTGGATGATGACTGATGACTTCTTTGTGATAGCTTTTTTTAAACAAACTGACCAACTTCATGGCTCACTTGTAGATTCGTGTTTGGACCTCATCTGGTTCTAGATGTTTATAAATTGTACTAGCACACTCTATAGGGGTGAGGGGACCCCAGGGTTAAAATATGTTACTGGTCTAATGCAAAATACCAACCAGTGGTGCAAACAACTTGATGATAGTGAAAAAAATACTAAAAACCTTCTGGCACCAGCCTCCCTGCAGCACCAGTTAACGACTCCTTACCCTTCAGTGAAGTAAATGGTAAAGTTCTATAGGCTGTTGATGGGGATGCACAATTTGTGTTGACTGAAATAAAGTATTGCAGGATGCAGAACAGCTCGCTGTGCATTAGTTTGTGTTTGTATTTCTGTTGATAATATATATGCAGATGCATTACTGAGCTAGAAAAGTCCTTTAATGGCAGAAGCTGTGAAGCCTTTTAAAGGAACAATGTGTAACAGGTTTAGCACCAAAGTGAAAAGTTAATCAAAGCCAGGTATTTACACCAAAGTGAGCATAAATCACAGAGCTTAAATACAGGAGTAAATGAGGTCTTCTGTATATTTTACTGTGAACTGCTGTGGTTATGTTGTTATCGTGTAAAGAGAGAGCTCATTATCATGTTTGTGTGCAAAGACATTGCATGTGTTTGCAGTTTACAGTAAGTTAATGTCACCAGTCAGACAGCAGACAGGTACTGTTGCCGTTTAATTTAGAACAGCTTGTTAACTGCTTCAAGTGAGCACACATAGGATTTGCCAATCAGAGAGCAGGACTTTCGGTTGCATTGTGAGAGTCCTGCATGCAGAGGTGCGTCTACAGAACTTTGGTGTAAAAGTTTGTAGTCTGCTGTGTTATTATAAGCTTTGCATGTACAGTGTATTTGCATGCAGGTCCATGTGTGCGTGCTGCTGCTGACCTCTTCACCTGCAGTGGGATCATGTTTGGTTTATTTTCATGTTCAGCACTGAGTCAGCTCACGTTACAAGGATGAACTTATGGCTCACAGCAGCAGACCTTGAAGTGCAAACCCCAGTACGTTTGTTTTCCGTATCGCTATGATCATCATCAAACCTTAATTTCATCTGTGGCTCAAAAGTAAATATATGCAAAAGCAGAATGCAAACACAAATGGACAAATATGACCAAAAACATGCAGGTTGTGGACAAAAATGATGATGATACTACATTTACCAAGTATTTTTGCCACTTAATGTTGAAAATTAATAAATCAAGGTCATGGTGTTCTTATTTACTGCGCTGTTATCTTATTCCTTTAACCAGGAAGAGGTTTTAATATTAAGAATCATGTTTTGTGGGTGTGTTACTGGCTCACACAGGCAGCATTAACCCAACATGTTTTTCAATGGCAGTAGGGCAGGAGAAACTGGCGCTTCCAGAGAAAACCACAGGAAGAACATGCATACTGCCCACTCAAAGGCCCTGCCCAGGTTGGTTTGAACCCAGGACCCTGTTGCTGTCAGGCGACAGTCTTAAACACTGAGCCAGTGGTGCCAGGCTCAGCACAGTGGTCAAAAGTCTTCTTGAACAATATTGACACAGTTGTAATGGAAAAAACATGGTTTCCACATCAGTTATGGCTGTAACCTTTTTCCTTACAAATTTTTAAGTTGTTAACAGCTCTCTTTTAGTCATCTGACACATATTTTATATGTTCCCTGCCTGTAAATAATTCCAGGCTTTCATAATATCTAAGCTGTGTTATTGCCGGGGATGTGTTAGTATCTAAACTTAAGAAAGAGACATTTGAGGGTTTAGCAAAAGAACATCTGTTGACAGTTTAGTTTGATGTAGATTTAGAAATTCGATAAGCGTGAGCTTTAGATGCATTTCCCCAGCAGCCGATGTTTGGAATAATAAGAGAGTACAGAATACAAGAAAGAGGAGAGCGGTGCAAGGCTGAAAATCCCCTCCACACCATGCATGAACCGAGTCCAGAAGGATCTGGAGGTAGTTTATGAGATTTTCTTGAGCTCATCAAGATGATGTGTCCCAGTTTTTTGTTTTTGTTTTTTCAGTTTGATTTGTCCCGTTATTAAATTTGCTTTATCTCTCAGTAGTAAAGGAACCTTTCAAAAATGTGTAGATCTGGAACAAGTCCAAAAGTTAATCTGCCCTAAGCTGGGCCAAACCCCACCTCTGAAGAAGAAGAAAGAAATCCATCCATGACTTTTTGAGTAATCCTTCTAACAAACAGGCAAGTAAAAACCTATAGCACCAACCTACTTTGTAGTGGAAAAATATAGCTGTTCAGCTCACAGACACATTGCACAAGTTTCCAAAATTAGTGTCAAAATATTAATGAAGCAACTTTTTCTTTGCATTTTTTTAGGTACACTGATGCTAAAGTCCTAAAATACAGACTATTTATCGATGCCTTCATTTACTGATACTAACTAAACTTTCTATTGTCTGAAATATTCTGCTGAAAAGCTCTCGAAGGGGAGGAAAGTCCTAGAATCGGACTCCCTTTAAAAGTCCCCAAATCAGTGTAATGATCAGCAAACCAACAAATAACCAGCAAACTGCAAAGAAGGTGACCACAAACGTTTGACACTAACGTTTAATACACAGCTTGGTTAGTTATGGTACTTAAAGCAAAACTCACTTCATCAGCCTGACTTACAACAAATGTTATAAATTATACAGGCTTAAGTTGAGCCCACTGTGAGAAAGGGATTTAAATACTGCCAGTTTGTGAATATCTATGACTAACAGTAAATAATACAAGTGGTTTATTTGGAAACTACTTATCGACCAACAATGTGACGCAGTCTCTGCTTCCAGCTTCTCTAATGAGAGAACGTGCTGTTTAGATTACAGTGAACTGATATTTTAGGACACTTAGACACAAATGGAGGCACTGTTTTCTGACATTTTGTAGATAAAGCGATTTCTCTAAAAAGTAATTAACAGTGAGAAGTACCCCACCCCCAAACAAAGAACAAGGTTATTTCTATCAGCCTGGAGTTGAGTCAGTGACTATCCGACCCCTGCAGGTATTTAAGAGGCTTCATGTTTATGACGTGAGATGGTAAAAATTTCATTTGTTGTTTCTTGAAGAGACTCTGAGAGCAGCCTGGAGCTACATGGAGAGAGTGATTGCACAAGAGCAGGAGCTCAGTGTTTGGCTCACACTGTGAGAGCTGACACCTCAGCTCACTCACAAAGAAAAGCAATGAAAGACGCTTCACTCTGCTCAACTTGATGATTCTTATACCAACTGTGCAGTATATTACTCTTATTAAAGAAGTATAGGTCATGTTTGAGTGTAGCAGCAGCCGAGAATATAGCAAGCAGGATCCGATCTTGCGCTGCTACTGCTGTCATCATAAGCTCATGATGCCTAAACCTTCACCTTAAATCACATGATACTGAGGTGATTCTTGGGGAGGTGGAAAAAAAGTCAACTGAGACAAAGACCTGCAAAAGTTTTGTAGTCTCCACATGTAAAACTTTATTAACTCTGTTAACTGGGAAAATATTTGGCAAGAGCCAAATTTCTCAAGAAATATTGATGTTGCGGCGTTCTTCACTGATTTAGATTTCTTTTCTAGCAGAAAGGACTCTGCAAATGTTACACTGGCCACGTTCTTTGTGACAGTGAAGTAACAGATAGCAATGTAACCTGGTGCCTCTCCAGTGAGTCTCTCCAACTCCTCCGTCTTGTACTACAGCTGGCGACAGTCTCGGTTTTGCTCTGCAATCTTGGTGAGCTTGGCATAGAGGCATGTCTGTGCAGTGAGACCGTGGCTAGTTGTTTACCAGCAGCTGAACTTTCAAACTTATTTGTTCTCCCTTTGTATACAAAGAAACTGCTTAAATTAGTTGCCAAGTATACTTGGGTGGCTGTTAATATAGTGAAGTGTGGGAAAACACCGAGGGAGCATTGATGCAGAAGTCTGTACCTTAGCTCTGTGTAAAACTGTGACAAACGTCAAATCTAATTGTTTACAGGAAGAAACTGTTTCTTGGGTGTCAAAAAAACCCACCAAAGACAAGCTCATCTTATGAGCGCAATAGTAAACTAACCTTCATTATTCTTTGCTCCATTGTGAGTCAACAAAGGGCACCAAAAAAGAGGAAAAAAGGTACGAAAATGCAGATATTTCCCATGTACAGAGCCTTGTTACAAAGTAAAGATCTTACATCGGTTTGCATTGTTTGAGTGATGAAACCTTGTGTTTTCAGTCAAACGTGAGAAGGTGTTAAGAA